CCTTGGGCTGCGTCTTCGACTCTATTTTCGCTTGTCGCTCTCTCTCTCTTTCTCTTTCTCTCTCTCTCTCTCTCTCTCTCTCTCTCTCTCTCTCTCTCTCTCTCTCTCTCTCTCTCCAGTTCTCTATAGCCATGTTGTCTCCCCTCGGTCGTGGAATGCAGACGCGATGCTCTTCCATCCCGGTAGAATTTTTGCCGGCATTCTCCACTATGACGCGAGTCGCCACTGAAATCCCCTTCTCCCTTCGCTTCTATCTTATTCAGATCGCTTCGCGGACGATTTAGACTGAATTAGGATTTAAATCGTTCAGCCGGCACCCTGCCAGTTCTCGGCATTCTTGCGCGGATTTGATCTTGTGTTAAGATGTATGAAGGGGTCTGTAAATTTGTTGATTATTATTATTTGTTTATTCTATAAACTGGATTTCCGTATCTTGATATTTCACTATATTTGATCAACATTTGCTTAACATTTTAATATTTGGTAAAAATCGTGCAAGAGAAGGAGAGAGAGAGAGAGAGAGAGAGAGAGAGTGTGTGTGTCGAATAGTGGCAGAGTGCCGGCTATTGGACGTTTTATTCTACACCGAAGCTACTCGATACGGAGTCGCTTTTTTCTTCCTTTTCGTCCTTTTCTTTTTCTTTATTTTAGGAATTGAGTATCGTTCTCATTTTGTTTTACGAAATTTCCTCTTCCTCCCTCTCTTTCGCTCGTTCCCTTCAAACCCGAGAAGCAGTTTCCTCGCGAACGAGAATGTCTAATGCTCTGCGATGCGTTAAAATCTCCAACAACTGTTGCCCTCAGTTCTTTTTTCTTTTTTTTCCAAGCAAACAAACAAACGCCACCGTTCATTACGCAGAGCCAGTGGACGTTCGATTAAGTGGATTTTACGATTTTAAGTGTGCACTCCAAAGGCAGCAAGAAGAAGCAGCTGCGCGCAATATTTGAACGGAAAATACGGTCGCGATCGCCAATAAATATCTAACATTTTCCAATATGACCCGCCGCGCTCGATGGCGGAGAAACCGGTGGCCGGAAAGGATAACGGCGAATCGAAGTAATTCCGAGCCGCTCGCTCGAGCGAACGGCCGAAATTATGTTATCGTCGACCGTTGTCGTTGCATTATTTTTCCCACTCTATGACTGGCTCGTCTTACGTAGCAAGAAACCGATATTATCAATCGAAACGTTGCGCGACGACAAAATTGCGCGATCCGATGTTAAAAGACGCCGCCGAGAGTAACCTGTATGATTTCATATTTTCATTTCAGAATTTATATTGAAACTATAGATGCCGGAGTATCCATAGATTGCTCTTTCGCGTGAAACGCGGGACTCCATTTTATATTAACCCGTCAAAATTGCTTTCATAAAGTACCATCAATTTAAGGAGATGTTTTTCTACATTTAACTGCTAACTATAGTTTTCATTTTTAATTAAAAATAATTAATACGAAATTGGTCTCTTATATTTAACTATACCATAGCTTTTACGAATATCATTATTACGGATAAATTTCAGCTCATTTTCATATATTAATAAAATAATATATTTTAATCATTTATTTTAAATTTTATAACTTGTATATATTTTTCGCGCATGCACATTTAAATTTCATTACAAGCAGTCGAGGGATCCCACCGTATTAGCGCCAGACTCCGAAAAGTCTCCACCACTGTCCTCGATTTTCGTCGCGGGAAAGGGAGCGCTAAATTGCTCGGAAAATGCGCCTCTGCGAGTCCTCGCGATCCGTCTCGCTGAAAAACTATACATGCGCGCGACGCTTCATAAATTCTTTCCCGTCGCCGTAGCGAGATACACGGAAGTCCGGTATCTCGCTGAAAATGACGCGGAATTCTTGAGACCCGCGGCTGAATAGTGAGGCCCGCGTGTAATTTGACGCCTGTTTTCATTAACGGGCGATTGTGTGGCGCCGCGCTTCGTTAACATTCATTTTTCGCGTGTTTTCCCCGGGACACAATGGCGCGTCATCCTATCCACCGGAGGAGCGCGCGCGCTTTTGTGTGTGAGAGAAAGATAGAGGGATAGAGAGAGAGAGAGAGAGAGAGGCGCGAGTCTTTTCCCCGCAGCCGTCACCAAAGACCTGATGCGCCGGGAAGCTCTCCTCGCGACACCTCCTCTGTCGCCGAGCTGACGTTGCGGCAGCCGCCTCGGCAGCCGCAGCAAATGATAATCGTTTGAGATCTAAAGCTAGGAATTTTCGACAGCGACCAAAGAGAGTGCGGATAACAAAGGAGATTAGTAAGAAGCGACTCCTCTCTCTCTCTCTCTCTCTCTCTCTCTCTCTCTCTCTCTCTCTCTCTCTCTCTCTCTCTCTCTCTGTCTCTGTCTGCCTGAGTTCGATCGCGCGCGATCGATGAAAAGGTCTAACGGAGCTTTGAGAGCAATCGCGGATCATCCGGAGAAACTGCATGTTCCCGGTTCGACAAAAAGAAACCAGAGTTACCCCCTTCTCCTCTTCTCACATGCTTCTGCCTCTCCCTCCTCCAATCACTTGTCATCAAGCATCGGTATAAATGGAATTCCTACGACACTTTCATTTTCCTCGCTGAACGAGTGAACTAGCCGCGTAGAAATTACTCGGAATTCTCCCAGATAGATCTCTGGGTTCAAATTGGCAATTTCGCGATCGCAAAATGGCTCATCTCTGATTACGGAAACTATTGAAAATATTTTGACCTCAAGCGTGCTTTTTCTGTCTAGGAGCCAAATAGAAATGGCATGGAAATTCTCGCGCTCCGGTTTTGAAGGACGCGAGTGCCCGAATGTCATATTATTCCGAAATTTCGTATATGATTGTTTAAGAGGTGCCGTAAGGCATCTCTCAAGGGAACAAACGAACGCTCGTTCGTTCGTTCGTTCGTTCGTTCCACGACGGGACCGCGTGGTGTGTGAAGGAAACTTAATTCTTCTCGCGTGAAAGTCGCGACAGGAGAGTGAAAGAGTGCCGCCGCGCTGTTTGTCGTGTCACGCTAATGCGCGCGGCATGTAAAATCAGATAAAAACCAGTTAATCCATCTTACAGTCGCGCTCGCTGCTTACAAGCGTTAAATTACGAGATTTACGAACGCCTCCGGTACACTGATTACGATAAGTTACTCAAATCGGCTTGGATTTCCGTTGACTGAGATTCGATCTAGCCGGCGATGAAAACTACATAATAAAAGGAAAAAAAAAATATCAAGTATCCCTCATATACGTGTTACATCGCCGTTATAAATTCCCGAGTGGCAATTTTAATCCTGCGAATTTTGCCGCGCACTTCAAATTTTAATGCGGAAGAAGCAACAGCGAGTACATTCGCGGTATCGAGCGATGAAGCGATAATAGTTTTATGTCGTATCTCAGATCAATTTCGAGATACGACATAAAACTATTATCGCTTCATCGCTCGATACCGCGAATGTACTCGCTCTGTTGCTTCTTCCGCATTAAAATTTGAAGAAGCATTTGATAAAACATTATTTAACGTTCCGTCATCTCAAATATTTAGTGAAGATTAAATGCAGCTGGGCCATTGAGACGATCGAATATTGCGTGACTTTTGAATAAGTCTTTCTTTAAACATCAACAAAACGGCACGGGAAAGTACCCGTTTGTAATTTGTATCAAAGGACAATAGTAGCCCGTGCAAGGTTGTACCTCAGGATCCTCCATTGTTACACGTTCAAGCTCGATGGAAGCTGCAGAGTTAATGCAGAACCAAAATTTTGGCTCGGGTTACGAAACTCGGTATATATTCCGCTCAATTACGCGACTACGAAGTCATAAGCGAATTGGCCCAATACCATAAATTATCCCGTATTGTTAAATTAATTATCGACCGGTGCAAATTATACGAGATTTCCTGCGGATAAATTAAATTTTCTCGTCGGATATATATTTGCGTGCCGATTATAAATCCGCTAATAGCCGTGGAGAATTGAACCCCGCGCATGTTGAGAGTCGCTTTTAGCTTCGACGGAAATCGCGTTATGTATTCTTTCATTAAAACCACGAAGATCCAACCGGCGCGGATTTTAAAACGGGCAATTTCAATGAGATCAGTATGAATTTGCACGAATAAAATAAATGAAATAATGAGATAAATTATTATAAATTAATAACAATTTTTAGTCGCGTCAACGATCCTTTTTTCCTCTTTTTCCCTCCCAGTATCAAATCTGAACGGGAGGAAAAACTAAACCGATCACAGTCGATTATCCTTGAACCGTAGAGAGGAGAGAATGATCAACAATGGCCGGTCGCGCGATTTTCCTACCGCTTCTTTCTTTCCACACTTTTTTTCCACCTCATGTGCGCTCTACCGTTTCTTCGCTTTTAGTAGCCCGTTTTCTCGGCCGAGAATTCGCGAAGTGTATCCTCCGCCGGAAGCCGTCGCGCGCCTTATCAAACACTTCGAATTTTAATTTTCGCGAAATCATTTCCTAGTTTCGTAACTTTTGCGAGATAATCATTTCCTTGTCCCGCGGAGTGCAGCGTTAGTTCAGCCGCGAGTTTTTCTCCCCGACTCCCTAGCGGCGCGCTGCGTAATGTCGAGGTTCGCGGATGCGCGAACAAGTGCGCTGAAATTGCATCCGTTGACACGTCGTGATCGGTACACTTAAACGCGGAACGTCCCTAATTAACCGCTGCGAGATAGTGAATAGGGAGTCCCGTTTCTCTCCCGCCGCGGCCGCTCGCCGTGTATCGCTAATTGGAATTTGCAACGAGTCGCGCACAATGAACAGAGCGAGCAGGTTTTTCGCGACAGCCCCCGCGAGTTACCGCGAGTCCCATTATGCAAAACACCGTAGGACCGTTTTTAAGAGCGCGGCTCCTCCCGCTCGGTCCCGCTGCTCTCCGGCGGCGTCGCCGCTTTTTTCAAGTCCCGGCGATTCGCCGCCTCTCGCCCGTTGCGCGCGCCGCCGGCATTTGCATATCTGAATTCGCAAGGAGGCGTAACAATCGTGAGAGGTAATTGCTAATGTGTACTCACCTTCGCGTAGTCGATTTTCAGTGTGCAGCAGCCAGAATAAATGTCCGCACCGTGAAGCGCCTCTTTCACTCTGGTGGCTGACTCGACCGAGTCGAACGTGATGATCGAAGGATCAGTTAAGGATTACACGATAGCGATGTGCGAGCGCATTTCACCCGTCGGGGCGCTCGACGGTCGGTCGATTTCTGACGATTCACTCGAACGAACCCGACGGTCACACGAGGTCACTTAAAGAGCAGCAGTCGCGTTCGATCGAGCGTCACGATTGGCACGAGGAAATCATTAATAAGGACGACTCCCGGTCTTTGCGCAAATCCCCGTGCGACATTCGACTCGGTGATTCGGCGCGTTCGTCGGGCAAATTTGATGATAACACGCGAGACTTGAGAAAAACCTGTTACACCTGTTGAGCGTTACAATTGACGCGAAAAATAATTAATGAGAACAACTTCGATCCCCGTGAATTTGGCGTGAATTTTGCCCCGAGCGACAGAGCGCGTTGTGACTCGCGCGGGAAATGATCGATTATAATAATTTCGAACTCAACGAGCGCGTAAATTTCGCAAAGTCATCCTCGCGCCGACCTCATTCTCCTTCGATACCGTCGCGCTTTTAAGGTCATTCTACGATACGTGTAGAAGCCGTAAGAATTGGCGAATCACATTGGCGAATTATTACAAAAATAATCGGCTGATAATTGGTCAGTGCTTACGGTTTACAACTTACGACACACGACGTATTGCAGAATGACCTGTACGTGCAATATCGCGTACGTCTCTCGAGCGGAGATAAAAGCAGGCGAAATTTCACGAGCGGACGCACACATACCGCGCGCGATCGGCGAAACCCGACGGAACGTGACGCACTGACAACACGGAAATCTCGACAAGTTCCACCGCGGACCCAGCAACGTTGCTCACCCACAAAGTGGCCGTTGCGCAATGTAAATGGCGATAAAACCCGGCGTGACGCAATACCTAACGAATTTATAGGCGCGCGGGACGCACGGCTCGACTATTATCCGGATCATAATAGTCCAGAATATATTCCGTCGCGTGGAGCTTAACTGAAAATACGACGCGTTGGCCTTTCTCTCCGTCGTGTCACATACACATATACACACACACACACACACACACACAAGGAATATTCTCTCAGCGCGCGTCGGCAAGAGTTTACGGCGAAAAGTCGGCCTCTCCGCGGCGACTCTCGGAGCATCCCCGTTATAAATCTTCATTACGCCGGTGTACGTCTTGACAAAGTTTCCAGCGCTCGGAAAAGCGTGTCAGACAACGAGAGCTGATCCCGCGGGGGGTGACCCTTGACCCGGCGCTCCGTCGGTCCCGAGCCGCGCAAATCAAATTGGCCGTCGCGCGGCGCGACGATCCGCTCGAACCGACGAGCGCCGTTCGCGCGTATCGAAACTTCGGCTTGGAGGCTCGAGGACGACTCTCTCTTCGTCGAGTCCCAAGTCAGATCGCTCGCGCACGCGGCGGAACGGAATCGGTTAGATGCACGTGACGGCGAATGGAAGCGGATGGGACTCCCGCTTGCTCACTTGGGAGGATTGGCAATTCCCTTTCCTCCTGCCGAAGTCAGAAACGCGCGTTAATTCGATTTCGACGCTCGTCGTCGCGTCAACTCGACGAAGCTGCCGCGAGAAATTCTGGCGATCCCGCGCCGTGAGAACCCGGAGTTCGCGTCTTTGCGCTTTTCATTACCGAATTTCGCGGCTGGTCGATCGTGCGCGGCTCGAGGAGGAGCTCCGTTCTCCTCCTCGTGCCTCTCGCGCCGAAACATGAAGAAGTTACGACGCGCGTTCGTTGCGACTTGCTCTCCCGCGGCAGGAGCCGCAACGGCCGGCCGCGGTTCCGCGGGAGAGGAAGCCATCTGACTTCCCATCTCGTAGCTCTCCGTTTATAGCCTAAGTAAATCCCACTGCTGCGACTCTAATCGGCGATCTCGTTAAATACGTCTCGCGAAAAAGTTCCACGGTTAATCCTTTATATACGAACGCGCAATATCCGCAGTCGTAAAGCAGTATTACCGTCGCGCAAAGGGAGGCGCGCACACACACACACACACACACACACACACACACACACACACACACACACACACACACACACACACACACACACACACACACACACGCGCGCGCGCGCGCATCGTCTTTCTCGGTGATTTAGCGCGAGCTGGTGGCGCGAGCGCGAGCCACCACGTTGAATTTAAAGTGTTAATTTACACGATTGAGATTTACACGGTGATTCTCGCGACTGATGTTAACGCAACCTCGACGAAATTCGTTGGCGCGACCGACCGTCGCGCGGAGAGGCGAAGGGGGGAAAACACGTCCGCGGGACGAACCGAAGCATCATAAAGGATATTCTATCATGGCTTGCACGCCGTTTTTCTTGAAGATCACGATGCGCTGCACCTGCCCGGTGTTCGCCGTAATCGCGTGCAACACTTCCTGCAACAGAAGAAAGAGAAATGTGTTTGAGCGGGCGTATATAAGTCGCGGGTGTTACGCGGCGGCTGTTTATTTCTCGTGCGTTTTTCATGATTTATAAGGCGGCGTGACTCGGCCGGAACATACGGTGGGAAACACGTCCGGAAGACGGAGGAAATTTCGGCGAACTCCTCCTCCGAATTCCACGGACGGAGTGTTCCACGGGAAATAATAATGAGAGATACGCCGCCTTCTTGTCGATTTACGGCGAGTGGATTCGCGAAAGAGATATCTCCCAATCCCGTGGATCTCTCGTCGTGGGGAAAATTTCGTAGCTCGTTTCCTCGAAACAGATTATCGGTCCGATTCGAGTTTTACTTCGCCGCGGAAAATTACCAGCGCGCCGTTTGGCTCTTATTATACAGGGCGTGTCAAAGGGTAAGGTCGATCAATCGGCGGATGAAAGAGAAGCTTACGTAGAATAGAGTAACTATAAACTTTTGTACTCGCTATGGTTGAGATCTTTTATTGTGTTTCGAGAAAAAGGTACCGTGCAAAAGGGTACGGGGCTTTAAGCCTGATGCCTTGCGTAGTAAAATAGCACGACCTTGAGTCGCGCTGTCAAGGTCATATAAGGATTCAAAATTAAAAGTTTCTAGAGCACCCACTTAAAACCACCCTGCCGCTCTTATATATGAAACATTTCTTTTTTTATATTAAGAGGTTTTAACACTGTCTGTATACAACTGTAACAGAAGTTACACGGTCTTCACAAAAGTCGTTCCGTTCGTGATGGTGACGCTTTTTCTGTGAAAAAATGAAGCAGCTTTCGAAGACCTGAAGGACAGCCTTGTTTCGTCATCTTCATAAAATATGCAACATGGTGTAACTGTTATTGCCTCATCCTGTACAATGCGTGTCTATACTCGTCTATATGTTTGTATTACAACCAAAAGAATAAAGAAAAAAAAAATGCAAAGATCTATTAACCCTCCTTGACTTTGAGCACTTTGAGAGCGTAAACTCTCTCTTTCTGCTAAAGATTCCGCCCGATCGTAATTCCGTGCCGGACAGTTTCCCGCAACCCTCGAGAGATCACTCGATTCCTCTCGCTCGACGTATCGTTTCGTTAGAGATATCAGCCGCAAGCGCGTCCGCTGCAGATCGCGGCAGGTAAGGGCAAAAAGGTGAGCCGAGAGGAAACCGGCGGGGTGCACTTTTGTGAGCTAAAACCTCCCCCGTCGCCTTCGCGTAATCGCTCTCATGTGTCACCCCTGGGGATCGCTCGCAAAGGTCTCATCGTTCAAAACAATCATCATTCTTCTTAGTCCTAGAGCGAGAGAGCTGTCGTCGCGGGGGGAACGGCGATAGTTCTGCAGCGCCTCGTATTTCCGTTAACCCATTTCGAGTATATGATCGATACGCGTCGTATATCATAGACGCTGCAAATCGAACGGAGTTTACACGCCGCGCTTTTCCCGGGAGGGGATCGAGAGACGCGTGCACAAGTCGCCGAGACGTAAGTTCGATCGCTTTCGCGGCGATAGATCTGAGAACAAGGAATTCGCGTTGAGAACCGAGGAGAAAGGCGCAGGTCAAGGGGACGAGCGGACGCGTCCACGAGCGCCGCTTCGATCGTCGGAGATGCAGTCTGTAAAGTAAGAGCGTGCACGGCATAAATGGCAGTTGGCTTGAAATATCGTCCTAGGTTTTTTGTGAACCGATAGATGAAATCTTTGTCGTGAATGCTTTGTCACAAAAGATTCAGTTGGCGTCGAACTCTAGCCTGAGAAACACGTTAACCACCATGAGTGCCGCATACGCATCGCGCTACGAGGCTGTGTTCCTTTGTTCCCACCCCAAAGGACCAACAATGTCATATGCAGAGTGGCTGCTAAATACATGGAAAAGTCAAAATCGTTCGTCGCTAAGTGGGTTCGGCAATATAAGAAGATCAAAAATGTCGATGACTTGCCAGAACGTGGCTCGATAGGCAAAGTGACGCCGAATATGGAAAAGAAAATTGTGAATTTGTTTAAGCGGAACCCGACCTTAATGCTTCAAATTTATGAGAAGTGTTTGTTGCCGACTGCTGAACGATGCTTCATAAAAAAAAAAACGAGGACTGGATCTTACAGGAAGACAACGAGCCAAAACACCGGAGCAAGCTTTGCACCGAGTGGAAAGAGCAGTCTGGCATCGTCACACTTGATTGGCCATCGCAGTCGCCAGATGCAAATCCCATTGAAAATGTGTGGGCATGTCTCAAGCACAAGCTTCGTGGAAAAAGAGTGTGCACTTTGAAGCAGCTGACACGACATGAAATTCGTCTCATTTGGAGGTCTTTACCGAACGAATACGCAGTCAACTTAGTGGAAAGCCTCGGTCTCGGAGATGCCAGGCAATTATCAATGCCGGTGGTGACTGGACTCATTATTAATGGTATAGCATTTTTCTTCTCATGGAGTATAACAAATCCATGTACTTAAAAATCATTACAAACAAATTTGTCTACACATTAACCCGTGCACGCTCTTACTTTACAGACTGTGTACGTGCCGATTTGATTACATTCCTTCTCATCTGCGACCGATCGCGATCTGCAGTCGACTAAACGGTTTCATCGGGATCTCGCCGGACGCGCTATGGATTCCGATCGGGGATCCCCGAATCCGCTCTGAATTATAAACCGCAAACCCGAGCGTGTTACTTTGACACGCATAAGCGCGCGTGTAATTGGCTTTTGGGAAACTTTTCTCACATTGCCTTTCGGCCGCGTCTTCTCAATCGCGTCTTTTCATTCGTTCGGACATATTTAACACGTTTAAACGAGGCACCGTATTTTTCAGAAAATCCGAATCACATGAAAATTTATATACGGTGGTTTCTGGGGTAGCTGACGAAGAATCCAAGATGGCGGGCGCAAAAATGAAAAATCGCGATAATTTCGGTGACAGTGGGTATTGTGGAGTTTTTGGAGTCGCTGATTACGAATCCGTTATCAGATTTTCAAAATTCCAGATGGCGGCCACAAATATGAAAAATCGCGATAATTTCGATGACAATGAGTTTTGGACCTCGGATTCGTAATCAGCAACTTTGAAAGCTAATCAAAGTACAATTTCAGCTAATCATATAAAAATTGTACGACGCGCCATTTTGGAAAATCAATTTTAAAATTTGGACCTCAGATGCGCAATCAGCGAGCTCAAAAACTAACCAGAGTACAATTTTAGCTAATTTTATGTACATTCTATGATCCGCCATCTTGGAAAATTAATTTTGGAATTTGGACCTCAGATTCGTAATCAGCGACCCAAAAAACCCGCAAATCTTGATTTTGAGCAGAAAATTCACTCATAGTTCGTGGAAAATGATTTTTTTCTGTAAAAATATATATTTTTCACACTTTGTTTATTTATAATAAATGGACAACTTGTGCAAAACACTTTTCAATCTTTCATGTGTGTTCCCATATCATATAAGAAGCTAAAAAACGCAAAAAAGCCCGACAAGAATCCCTCAAAAATATGAAAGATTTCACGAAAATGTAAGAATATCACCACTATGCCTCAAAAGGTCAAATGAGACGCGATTCAAGACGACGAGAAACGCGCGGAAAGCGAAGAAAGCTTCAGCCAATAACACGCGAACGCGTGTCGTCAAAATAACACTCGGACTTGCAGTGTCCGCTTTAGATCGAAACGTGATGCTGCAAATATGCAATTCCAAGCGGGAGACCCGAGACATTTTCCCCGGTCTTTATTTTGTATAAGAATTTTACCCCTTTCTGGGACGACTGTTTGTCGGGAATCCCAATCGGACCACCGCCTTCTCGTTTCTCTCACGGAATGCACCGAGTGAGAGCGAAATTCCGAATGACCTTTTTATTTCGATATCAATAATCTGCAACTCGACGTTAGCGATATCAGCTTGCGAGAGTATTTGTCACATCGCCCTCTGCGTGTCACTCATATGCATTTCGAATGACCATCCGACTCGGTCGGTCTCCGCGCGTGAAGTTAAAATTTATGAAAAGCTGGCTGACGCGAATGCTGCATGATTTACAGATACGATGTACAGATATGATTAAACATTGAGCGCGGATCCGCGAAAGGTCGAGCATCGTCGCGCGGAACATTGTGCCGAGTGCTGCGAAGGCGGAATGGAGGCGCGACGACGTGTCCACCTTGCACTAATTTACATTGCAATTAGCAGTTTCCCGTTTAATCCTTCATCGGTGTAGCGCGAGTACAAGCGACGCATTTGGCGATTAACGTCGGTTCGAACGGCTCGACAAGCGTTCGGCACGTTTGAGCACGCCGGGCTCAAGCAGCCGAAAATCGAGAAGACATCTCCGAGCGGGCGGGATAACGTTCAATTAACAATAGGAAAAAGCCGGGACGACCGAGCCAGTATATTATTTAATTAAAAACAACCGCGAAACACAAGAGCGAAATCTAAATGTCAGTAATTTTCCGCGCAGCACTAATCGTGCTGCGTTCCAACGCTAATCCTGCGCCCTGCCGACTGTTTTCGGAGATAATTACGAAATGCAGTTTCCTAATACAGTAAATCAGCTTGAGAAATTGCCACACAGTCCTGCAAGGATAGAGACATTGTTGACATCGTTGCCAGCGTATTGGTGAAACGACTGTCATATCCAACGTCGTCGAACTATATATGTTGCTTCGATAGTAATTAAAGTAATTAATAGTAATTAAATTTCCTTCAGCCATCACGTATTTACTTCATGCACACGCACTATTATCATGTGCCCAGCATCTCGTTATAGTTGCTGTTGTTATATCGTTAAACCCAACTCAAGCGCGGCGTAATTAAAAAAGGCGTTGCGCGCAGCTACGCGCGAGATGTTTTATTTCAGAACGGCCGATAATTGAGGGCGTTTAGCGGTAAACGCGCGCGCACATGTTTACCTGCCGCGATGCTGGCGTAGAAACCTGAAATTTGCGCGATGCACGAGCGATGACACGACAGTGATGGCTCGTTGCCAAAGCAGC